ACAGAAAAGAAGGGGAAATAGTTAAAGCATTTGAAATGTCAAATAGTCCTTTAGCTGGAAAGAGAAGAGAGAAAAAACCCCAGACCTTGTTTGATAGTCTTTTAGATGGTTTCCAAGACGTTAACTGATATCGAGGGGAAAAGAGAAGTTAAACAAGATGAGCTGGAGCTGTCTTGGCTGCTGCTGATGTTAAAATCTGATCCCGTTTCCTAGACGAAAAAATACGACAAACACACACAAAGGGAGAGAGGATAGAAAATGCAGCTTCTGTCTCTGGTGTTGACTTTCACTCACAAGCTCATTGCTAGAGAAACTCGGGCACAGCACATGGTCTGATCAGCCTCTCTGAGACCAGGCAAACTCCTACCAGCATGGCGCTGTTTGGGGCATTGCTTTTAGTCACCTCTCTGGTCACAGACTGATTACAGTCTTGGCCGGCTAAGCCCGACTTTGATTGGCCAGAAGGAAAAAGGAGGGGGATAGGCAAGAGGGGAAATAAGGTGGGGAAGGAAAAGTTACCACATGGAGGAAGGAGAGAGAAAGAAGCTCATGTACCATGGGGTGTTTGGGATTTAGCCTGTCAGGGTTTCCTCCCCACTCTGAACTCTGGGGTACAAAGGTGGGGACCCGCATGAAAGACCCCCTAAGCTTATAAGTATCAGCTTAGGTTAAAAACTTTCCCAAGGCACAAATCCTTTCCTTGTCCTTGGACGGTATGCTGCCACCACCAAGTGATTCAGACAAAGATTCAGGGAAAAGACCACTTGGAATTCATATTTCCCCAAAATATCCCCCCAAACCCATTTACCCCCTTTCCTGGGTAGGCTTGAGAATAATATACTAACCAATAGGTTAACAAAGCGAGCACAGACCAAACCCTTGGGTTTTTAGGACACTAAAAATCAATCCGGTTCTTAAAAGAAGAACTGTATTAAAAAGAAAAAAGTAAAAGAAACACCTCTGTAAAATCAGGATGGAAGGTAATTTTACAGGGTAATAAAAAGATTTAAAACACAGAGGATTCCTCTCTAGGCTCAACTTTAAAGTTACAAAAACAGGAATAAACCTCCCTCTTAGCATAGGGAAAATTCACAAGCTAAAACAAAAGATACTTTAACGCATTTCCTTGCCTTTACTTACAATTTCTGTCATTTTAGATGCATTATTTCAGGTATCTTTGTAGGAGCTGGTTTACCTGCTTGGTCTCTTTCTTTCTCTGTCCCGAGAGGGAACCAACAAAGAGAGCACAAACAAAACCTCCCCCGCCCCCTGATTTCAAAGTATCTTCTTTCCCCATTGGTCCTTCTGGTCAGGTGCCAACTAAGTTAATTGAACTGATTAACCCCTTACAGGTAAGTGATTCTGTACCTCTGGCCAGAAGGGATTTTATGTTACTGCATACATAAAGGTTGTTACCCTTCCCTTTATATTTATGACATAACCTGAGCTGATGGAGGTGATGATGTCATCTGGATCCCTCTCTCTGTCCCAGTCTGGTCATGACATATCTCAGGATTGGGACAAAGAAAGTCCAGGGTCTCAGGAGATGGTGAGGGTGCCAGCCATAATGATGAAGCTCCCTCTGGTAGACATTTTTTTCTCCCTTAAGTCACTTGCTTAAGGACCCCAAAAGGGAGTGGTGGGTGGAATAGCCCCTCCTTTACTTATTTGATCCACCAATTAGGCCTAATATCCAACACACCAATTTTGGTTTATTAATTTGTGGTCCTCAGGTTCTCTTGTTTACCAGCCATGATCTTAACACAGCCTTTGAGTTACATCTGGAGTCCTCGTTGTTTGGACTAATTCAGTCTGTCTCCCTTTCATACCTTTTCCCACCAATGTTTGTTGTTCTGGGTTATTTTGACATATTATGAACTTTCACTCACTTTTTACAGTTGCGTTCACAATTAGGGTAATTTGTAGGCCTAGTTATTACGAGAGAGCCCCCTTCTGAAATAGCCTGTAGCCCAGAGACTAGGGCATTCACCTATGGGATAGGAGAACTGGGTTTGAGGCTCTGCTCTGAATCAGGCAGCCTGAAGCCTTGAACATGGTTCTCCCACATGCTCTAACCACTGGGCTATAGGGCACAAGGAAAAGTAAAACCTCCTCCTCTGCTCTTTTGTGTGGAGTTTAGTCCAGCTGGTGGCTCTGAGAATGCCCATGGATAAAGCCCTGCATTGGCGCGGTTTACCCCTATCCCATTGGCGTGGTTTACCCCTATCCCAGACACCTGCCCCTTCTGCAGTGTGAGGGAGACCCTGGCGCATGTTTACCTGGAGTGCGCCAGGCTTCAGCCCCTATTCCGGCTCCTCATGGATATTTTGTTAAGATTTTGGTTGCACTTTTCTCCTCACCTTTTTATTTATGCACTCCCTATCCGTTGCCCCACAAAGTCACAGGACCTCCCGGTCAACCGCCTCCTGGCCCTAGCGAAACTGGCCATCTATAAAACCAGAGTGAGGAGGTTGGCCGATGGAGTCTCCTGTGACTGTGGGGCCTATTTCAGGTCCTCCATTCGTTCACGTATCCGGGCAGAGTTCCTCTGGGCGGCGTCCACTGGCTCCCTTGACGCCTTCGAGGAGCAGTGGGCGCTGTCCGAGGTTCTCTGCTCGGTGTCCCCGTCTGGTTCACTTCGTTTGACCCTCTGACCTCACTCCTGTCCCTGTTCTTTTATTAGTTGTCCCCCGTAATTTTTTTGGTCTCCAGGTCCTGTGGACCCCCCCTTAGGCTGGGGGGGATCCTTTAGCAGTGGGCAGGCTTCGCCCACCCTCTTCCTGGATCCCAATAGGATAAAGCCCTGCAGACAAGATGAGAGGGGTATTACCCAGTTTAATCATCCCGCCGAGGGTCGGCCACTGA